CCTCTGATTTGGTTTTTTTAAATCTTTTTTTTTGGAATGTACATATATAGTGAATGAAGAACAGTTAAGTAATTACGGCTTCGAAGTTCGAAATAAAATACTAATTAAATCTTCGGATCGAGTGCAGAAATTTTTGGTCGGCCCTTGTGTTGGCATCATGCCCAAATGCAGATGTTCAGGTCCGAAGAGTGAACCGATGTGAGTTTTTTCGAATATTTGGATGAGATTATAAAAATACTACAATTCCAAAAATTTTCATGCATAGGAAAAGGTAAGTTTCGTTCCAGGACCCTGGATTTAGGCCTAAGAAGAAGAAACAAAGGAAAGTCAAGAAAATGGCATAGGCACGAAGAGGCGGTTTACCGGTTGGTTGCTCTTTCGAAGATAACAAATGGACACAATAACGCTGTCGCGTGAAGGGAAGTTTTCATCTAATAAAAACTTCTGTGAACTTTTGCTCACAGATAACAACTGACTCCCTTTGCTCCGAGTTGTTTAGGACTGTTGAACATTGGAACATAGAAGACTTTCGAAAGCTACCTTCTCTGAACAACATTTCAATTTCAAAAGGAACGAAAAGAAGAAGAACGTTTCAAGTCTAGCCCAATTTGGTTGGTACTATGACCATCTTTGCTTTCACAAAGCGTTATGAATGACCGGAATGTTTTGGAATTTATAAAAAGTGTGCGGAAAATTGCAGGCAAAAAAAAAACAACAAAACAAGCTTGGAATCGTTCATGTTGTGCCTGTAAACTTCTTGCATCTGTCCCACCTCAATAGCACTTTCAAATGACTTTTTAGTACACTCATAAAGTTCCCCTTTTTAACTACATGCTCAACAGGACGGAGGTGGTGGAGTGTGAAATGTCGCAATAGCACAGTTTTGGTCATAAGATCTAAATATGATTTGATACCCGCCCAGATCCGCTGAAGTTTTTATCATTCTGAGGCAGTTTAACCGGTACGTGACTGCTCTCGAGGAATAAATGTACTGATCTGTATATCGAATAGAACACATAAGCCTTCAAAAGGTAAATACGATTCAAATGGAAGTCGAAGCGATGGCCCAATTCACAAGTGGAACTGATCAACACCGGGTGACCTCGCCCTTCGTACCTTTTAGCCACATAATTTCCGAAAATTCGTTGTCAACGACCAAAGAACGGAAAAGACCCGAGGTGGCTTTATGTAATATCATCGACAAGACATAACCTTTCTTTTAATTAGGCAGTTTAAAGTCATTGTGAAGCAGTGGGAGTTTTGAGTCAGCAGAAAACTTTGTGGTCATAGAGGATACGATCCCCACGTGCTTGCCTCCTAACACTTATGGACGCTGCCTTATGGCCCAGCTATTTTTCCTCACCAGGCACAATTCGATCTCATGTGCGCGGAGCATCACTGGGATTGTTTATACCTATTACCCCGCTGTATTACTAAGAAGTGAATGGAACATTGAGGGGATCCCAAACGTTTTGCGGAACTATCCATTTTCTGAGAACTGCTTCTAGGCAAAAAGACATTTTACAACTTAGTAAAGTACGCCATAGTTTACCCATTTGTGCTCCTATCGGTTTGAATAGTTTTTGTGATGTAAACAGCTACGTCATCAAGTAGTTCCTTCACACAATACATAAATCTGACTTTTAATCTTTTTGTCTTTGCACTGCAACCCTCTTATAGATTCATATGCATAATTCATTGGCAATTCCTAGGTCGACAAATCAACTTATTCATCTAAGAGGGGGTTGCTCGTTACAGCCTTGACGCGGTTCATGAAAGCATGCACACTTGAGAAGCCGGCCACCCAAGCACTTGGAGAATCCACCTGATTCATGAAACAGGAATTTTCATAGCGAATTCGGAACCAACAGCTCTCCAAAGAGCTCAAGGTCATTTGAATTAGTTCCTGAATGGACATCCCAAGTGTGCTCTCAGGTGGTCGCCTCGATACTTGAAAAGCAGAGCACAGAACCAAATTATCCACATTTGTGAAACGGCCATTGAACAACGAGTTCATGGGAGTACTGGAAATACTCGATTTTCTTGTATTCAGTTGAGCTGTGGTAATCCAGGATACAAAAAAGCCTACTTTCACCCTCGAAAAAGTAAGGTCACCCCAGGCGGCGTCAGAAAGAAGCTTTTCTCTCAAAACTCCTTGTTTACAAGTTTACCAGCCAATTGCGGATATTTTAAAATTCGGATCAGTGAGACAAATTAGAGAAACTATCCAACAGGTGTTATATCATAGAATAAAAGGGGAACGTGAAGCTAACTTTGCTATGGTTTTTCGCGTGCGCTTGGATCGTTCATCCAGCCGGGCCGCTACGCGACCGCACGCCCAATTCCCACTTACTAAAACCTCATCTATACTCGTGCCAAAGGTCATAGAAGTGGTAAAGCAATAAAATTACGTTTGTAAATTTTTTATGCCTTTATGACGTCACCAATATCATCGTAGTCAATCCTAGTGAAATATGAGAACAAAAGGGACAGATCGAAAGCCTAAGATATTCTCGTACCAGGGCAATAATGATATCATCATGAACATATGTATTCTTAAAATAATAAGTGGAATGAGCCTTTTTGGGAAAAATGTGTACAAAGGAACGAGCAAACAAGCTTGTAACTACATTTACAAAAGGACACACAAACATTACAAAACGGACATTTTACTAGCACTAGCAATAAAAGTAAAATGGCGTTATGACACACTAGGAAGAAAAGAGACAGGGAAATGATTTAATGAGTGAATGAATGAATGCGTAAGAAGAGATAAGAGATTGAGTTATTGCTCCCAGTAAAATGAAGTTTTTTTCCAAGTGAAACACACACATCGGCAGCGATGAACTAGAACAAATAAACTCGCATCAACAAAACACATACATATAAAAGTTGACAAGTAGTCATAATCGATCAAATGAAATGGGAAATGAGAGCTGAATGAACCCCAAAAATCGAATGAAAGAGCAAAAATTTTGTGGCTAAAACACCCGCTTCGAGATCGGGTCAATACAATCTCAGAACAGCCACGTAGCCATGACCAACGTCAGTGCACCAGTTGTTAGTCCGAGTACCGACATTGACGATGTATGAGGTGATTGAACAGACTGCGTTTGCAGCCATTGCTCATAAACGTACGGCTCTTCTTTGATATCGGTAATAGTGGTAGGTAATTCATTTACCACATGAATCTTCCAACCCATGTTGTAGTTTGAGTAACTCTGAAATTTTAGTTTATAAATAACCTGAAGTAAATAGGACTGGCAAATTGGGTAGTTCACTACGGCTTTGTTTACTAACTTCTTGAAAAAGTTTCGGTTGTTTATAAGTTTTTTATGGAATCTGAGCTAGAGTACGAGCTAGAAGCACTGATGTCTTTTAGGTCAGTTATTTGACCTGCAGAACTTCTAGGCCCCCAAGGCCTGTCGGCTTCTCAGTCATTGTTTTGATGGGCTATGAGGAGGAATTGCTCCTTTCCGTTTATCTCTGGCGGCACCATCACGATAAGAATTACTTTGACAGAAAAGTTACTACTTACACAATAGTGGTACCGTAGGAGAAGTTACAAGGGGGTTTTATTACCCCCGCATGAGTGCAACCTATGTGACCATGTCGATCAGCAGAGTTACAACTTTCACCTCAAGTAAGGGTTGCGGAGTATTACCGAGTTTGGTTTGGTAAACAACATCTTAGTTGCGGAGCATTACCAAGTTTGGAGCAAATTTTAACAATTTATTGATCCGTTTTTTGAAATGTTCTCTCAAAATAGGGTTGACGATAGACCAGAGACTGTGTTCGACCAAAAATAGCATTATTTACGACAATGCTCATATGAGCACACGATATCAATTACATTTTCATCTTTGTTCCATGCAGGTATAGTTGATCAATTAAAGCTGTTCTACGCAATGACTTTCATGGTTTCAATTATCCGGCCAGCAGGTGTATTATCAAAGCCGTTAAGCAATTGTCTAACGTGGACGCCGAATCACGACGGCATTCATCTACTAGCTGATATCCATGATACAGACATTCCCATAATGAGGGGTTGGGGTGAATTAAGGAAGGGACTGGAAAGGTGTACAAGTCATACAAGTGCAAATCAGCGACAGTACAACCGTACAATTGGGTTCTTGCTCACAGCAGATTCCCGTTGTTGTCATGTAAATCAGTGGACGTTGTGTGTACTGAAAGGAACGCCGGTGTTCACGCGGCCACTATTGTCTACTATTGTGCCATCCCCCTTTCGATACAGAATAGAAGATTCTGTGACTAGCGAAACGATCGACTCACGAAGAGGGACCATCAGTAGAGCTCCTGGGGTCTGACTCATTTATCATGACCCCCTACGGAAAAGCGAACGCACTTTACGGGGAAACAGATTCATGAAGTGACTGAAGCGTACAAGTCCCATGTTGGGATGCTCCATGCACTCGACTTCCTCCCAAATTGAAGTTTTGAATGTATCTCTAACTTGAGCGTAGGGGGGGGGGGGGGGGGG